AAAAAAAAAAAAATTCTACCTACTTTTGTACATGGTAACAAAATAAATTCCAGATAGTTCAAATGTTTAAAAGTAAAACATAAAAAAAAAAATGTAGTATAAAGAACACATGGGAGAAATTTATTTTTAAAATTAGTTAACATGCAGTGGGAAGGCCTTTTTAAGAATGACAAAGAAAAAAACAGCTCATGAGTTGTTAATGAGAAAAATCTTTAAATTTAAATTCAAAAAGATTTGTTAAAATTTTTACATTAAAATAATCAATAAGGAGACAAATGGCACAGACTGTGGGTGGGAAGAGTATATTTTCAACTCAGGTCATAAGTGATCAGTTTCCATAAAGAATAATTAGCAAAGTTTATTAAAATTTTAAAAATCCATTTCTCTTCCTTTGATACAGATTTCTAATCCAACAATCCACCCTCACAGAAACATACTGATTGGATAACACTGTTTATAACAGTAAATGATTGGAAAGCACCTAAATGCCCACTGGGAAAGAAATGGTGAAATAAATTATGATAATTGACACAACAGGATTCCCTGCTGCCATCAAACAGAATAAGGAGTCTCTAAATGAATAATATAGAACCGTGTATACATTACATTTACATTTTTTAAGAAGATTTTTTTTATTTATTTGACAGAGAGAGACACAGCGAGAGAGGGAACACAGCAGAGGGAGTGGGAGAGGGAGAAGCAGGCTTCCCGCCGAGCAGGGAGCCCGATGTGGGGCTCAATCCCAGGACCCTGGGACCATGACCTGAGCCAAAGGCAGATGCTTAATGACTAAGCCAACCAGGCGTCCCTACATTTTAATATAAAAATTGTCACAAATAAAACACATGATATTCAAATTATTATTATTACTATAATTCAAATTACTAAAAAAATATACAGCATGAAAAGTAAGTCTTCCTTCTACCCATGGCCTAATTTCCCAGATATCCTCTTCAGAAATGTCCATTGTTAAGTGTTATTTGTGATTTGTTCTAGAGATAATCTATGCATATATAGGTATAAATGTATATGGCTAAGAAAATAGTGTTAACTTATTCCTAAGTGTTGCGACTGGACATTATATACAATCTTTTAGTAGAGTCATTTCATGCTCATTTATAGAATGACCAAATGAGTTTCCTTAATTTTCAAATGATTTGGTTAAGACAGTCGAAATTAAAGGACTATTTTGAGAAATAAGGTAGTGACCAATTAAATAATAGCAGAGATTTACACTTGAATATTATTACATTAAAACGGATTTCACTGGGCACCTGGGTGGCTCAGTTGGTTGGGCATCTACCTTCAGCTTGGATCATGATCCCAGGGTCCTGGGATCAAGTCCACATCGGGCTCCCTGCTCCGCGGGGAGCCTGCTTCTCCCTCTCCTCCCTGCTTGTGCTCTCTTGCTGTCTCTCTCTCTCAAATAATTAAATAAAATATTTTAAAAAATAAAATAAAATAAAATGGATTTCATTCTAGAAAGCAAGATACCAGCTCATAAAACCAGCCATCTAGTATAGAAGTGAGGACATTCTTTCATGACAAATTGAAACATATGTATAAAACCTAATAAAAAGTTTGATTAGGTCTTATTTGCTATATATTCTCATGAAATAATACCTGATCTTAACTTGTGTAAGTTAGCACAGCAATTATATAATTCTAATATAAAATTTATTTTTAATATAGCCGAGTGACGCACCCAGAAAGACAAGCAATGTCACATGAAAGGGTACAACTATTTCTTTTATTATTCTGGATTAGTTACACTTGAAAAAAATTACAGATAGTTTATATTTGTTACATCAGGTTTATTAAACCAATCAGGTAGTATGAAAAGAAATAGCCTAATATAAAAAAAAAAAAATCTGTATCTGGATTAAAAGATATTCCTTTTGTCAACTAGAAAAATACATTCCAAATAAAACCATAATCCTACTTTGAAAAACTATAAAATGCAGCCATAGAAGTATATTTTGTCATGTACAGTACATGTTTAAATAATATAAAAATAAAATTTTAATGGATTAGAATAGGTTCTATACATTGAGACCATTTATTTTTTTGAGTTAGAAAGAGAAAATAAAATAGGTATTTCATTTAGGATATTATTTCAAAGTTATTTTGTGTCTACTACTTAAAATTCAATTCTACATAATATATATTTTTTCCTACATGCATATAATGCAAAGGAAAATACTGTAATTTAACCATTGAGAGGCTTTTAAAAAGACAATATTTGCATTGCCTTAAATCAGTAACTGTGATTTAAAAATAAAATTAAAAATTTACTAATTTAAAATTTTTTTCAGAGCACAAAGATTTAGTGCCTCCCCTAAAGAATTTATAAGTAGAATTATTTTTACCTTTTAGGTCTAATATGCATATTTACATATAAAATGCATGAGCATCATAGAAATAATTTTTAAAATGATTGCGGCCTTCTAAAATTTAGCATTTCAATTCAAAAACTGGGTAGGGGCAAAGAGGTAAGGAGGTCGATTGGAGGGATTATAGTTAACAAGTTAGAAGACAAAGTAATAAAACAATAAAAAAATACATTGGGGGAGGGAAGTTAGGTAATACATAAATAAATATAAGCTAAGCCGTAATATAAGTGCTCCTCTATGAAAAGTGCACCTGAAATAGTTGTGGGCTCAGAGATAAGATATTACAACTGATTGAATGGAATAAATGTTTCATAGAAAATATAACATGTTAAAAAGACAAAACGGGTAGCTTTCCGTGTATGGCAGATGGAGGGAAAAAGAGGCATTCCAAGGGGGAGGATGAACAAGGTACAGTCTATGAAAATCTAAGTTGTTACAAGAAGGAAGAACAGTCAGCTTTGGTTTGCTACTTCTAGCTGCATATAGCAATTTCATAGTTAACCTGTTAGGTTACTCAAACATTTATAAACACTTTAAAGATTCTATACATAATTAAAACATTAAAGCTCTATCAAGTTCTATATTTATAATTCAGATTCTCACTTTAATAAAGAATAGCTCAGTATCCAGAGATGAGGGCAATTGTAGTTAAGTTTTATATCTGCATTAATATATTACCCTAAATTAGAGATTCAGCATGGTAAAAAAAAAAAAAAAGAAGAGATTCAGCATGGTAACTGATGATTTAATATTGTAACGAATCAAAAGCACAAATAGATTTGTATAACTAAAGAGCAACTAGAAATTCTAAAGTGTGTTTAAAAATCAATGATTCTGCTTTCTGAGAAGAGTTTTTAACATAATTTATTGTAAAAATATAGAAGTAGTCCTTAGAATGTATCTCTACTTAACTATATAAAAGCAGAAGTTAATTCAAAGATTCTAAAATGAAATTATCTGTCCAGTCCTATTTCTTATCAGACCCTCTTTCAAATTCAGATAATTAATCAAATTACATAGCAGATAAGTAATGTTCATTATTTTCTCACTAAGGAGTAACACAAAGAGATTGCTTTCACTTTTGGAAAACAACATTGCAATTGGTTTATCATTGATGATGATCTTCTGAATTTAATCCCCAGTAGTGAACAACGAATATATCAGTAACTTGCCTTATTGCTGAATGATTTAATGGGATATTTGGCAAAAAAACCTTCCCTTTCTCAGATGACTATTCAATTCCCTTTAATTTTTTTTTAATTAAACCCATGTTAACATTATTACTTACTCTTTATCACTATCTTTTCCCTGGAATGGAAATTTCTACTTTCTTTACCAGCCAATTTCAACTAAAGCCTTCAGCATTATCTTGGTGCAAGAAATGGTAACACAGGCGCTCTCCAAAGTGAAATACTGAAACATTCTAAATATCTTCCCAAAGTTTGGTGAAAAGTCTGGGGGATGGAGAAATGAAAAAGTAGATTAAGAAACTCGGTTAAAACATGCACTACAGTAAGCATGGGAATAAAAGGGAATAAGAAATACTGAAATCTTCACCAATATCCACATATTAAAATTAAGTAAAATAATATTTACTTACATGTATGCTGACATACAGAAAAAGTGTCAGCTAAAGAAAAAATAAACCACAGTGGTGTTTATTTAACAGTACAATAAAACAATAAAACTAATTGTTTACAATGTGATTACATCATGTGTTCACTGGCAAGAAGGAAAGAAGGGAGAGAGGGAGGAAAACATCAGGCAAAACCAAGCCTCGTCCAGCACTAAAGAGTGTCACTCAAGGTGGGATCTAAATAATCTGTTCAATTTGTTGGATATTTACTAGCATCCTTGGGGAAGGAGTGTGGGTCAGAGCCACATTTTTTTAGTTTGCACCTTAGAAGAAGTTCTACAAAGACAATCCGAATTCCAGTGTAACAGAATAAAAGGTTTTTGTCCATTTGAGTTCCTCTCTGTAGGTTCAGAGACAAAATGCTAATACTTAGGGTATACAGAACTCTATTTTACCCACACAAAGGACCCCAAGTTGCCTCTCTTGGAGCCTCTTTTGTAGGCAGGGTGTAAATAAGCAGGACTGTGACCCTGTGATTTTCTCTGTAACCCACATCATACCTCATCAAAAAATAAACCTGCACAGACCATTTGTTTGATCAGAGGATTTGCTTTGTCAGAGAAAGCCCAGGTATCATTCTTAGTAACTTTAGCCTTCTTTAGAAAAATTGCTGTTGTATGTAGCAATTGGCCCTTTCTCATCTATACCCCCATTCAATCCACTGCTGGAATTTGCACATGTCCCAGTGGCAGCCCTTCCCATTTCCTGTTGTCTAGGTCTAAACAAGTAGAAGGGTTTGGAAAGTGACAGAGATGATGTACATTCTAAGTATCAGTGAGAAGAACCAAGACTTGAATTCATACAGTTACAGTAGCGTAGCTGTCATGTACATTACAGACTTAAAATTTCCAATGATACAGCTTTGAAAAAATATATTACAGCAAATTTTTTTTACTTGTTTATGTGTCTAGTTTTAATATGTTGACTGCAATATTAAGAATTAGTTTTGTTTGTGTAAATCATTTCTCCCAGAAGCTATAAGATTATAATTCCCATCAAATCATTTCTGTTACACACCTGCAAGCTATTTGTGTGGCAGCTCGGCCTCCTGCTGCTGGGGACGCTGCTGCGCCCGGCCGACGCCTGCAGCTGCTCCCCGGTGCACCCGCAACAGGCGTTTTGCAACGCAGACGTAGTGATAAGGGCGAAAGCGGTCAGTGTGAAGGAGGTGGACTCCGGGAATGACATCTACGGCAACCCCATCAAGCGGATTCAGTATGAGATCAAGCAGATAAAGATGTTCAAAGGCCCTGACAAGGACATAGAGTTTATCTACACGGCTCCTTCCTCCGCCGTATGTGGGGTCTCGCTGGACATCGGTGGAAAGAAGGAATATCTCATTGCAGGAAAGGCCGAGGGGAACGGCAAGATGCACATCACCCTGTGTGACTTCATTGTGCCCTGGGACACCCTGAGCACCACCCAGAAGAAGAGCCTGAACCACAGGTACCAGATGGGCTGTGAGTGCAAGATCACGCGCTGCCCCATGATCCCGTGCTACATCTCGTCTCCGGACGAGTGCCTCCGGATGGACTGGGTCACCGAGAAGAACATCAACGGGCATCAGGCCAAGTTCTTCGCCTGCATCAAGAGAAGCGACCGCTCCTGTGCGTGGTACCGTGGAGCAGCACCCCCCAAGCAGGAGTTTCTCGATATTGAGGACCCGTAAGCAGGCCAATAGCACCCCTTTGGCCAACGGAAAAGCCTCCAAGAGTTTAGACTGGTCCAGCTCTGACATCCCTTCCCGGAAACAGCATGAATAAAACAGTCATCCAAGTGGGTCTAAAAAAGCAAACAAACAAACAAACAAAAAAAACAGCTAATAATAAACAGCTCATCATCGGAACTTGTAATAATTGGGTGAGATTGGAACTCAAATCAAAAATAAACTTTCTCTAGTTTTTGTTAACCACTGAATACTTAACATGATTTACATCATTTTTCAGAATGTGACATTTAAAATAAAGTTTCCTATTAAGCAAACATGAACATAAAAGTAGGTCAGAAACAAGCTATTCGAATTATGTTGACAATAGCACCACATCTCCTCCAGTTGTTTCCGAGTCCTGACTATGGTTAGAGCTGATACCAGTGTCTGAGTCTGTGTCATTTGTATACAAGTTAAATACCCTTTGAGTCAAGGAAGGAACCTCCCCACTGCTGCTGGGGACCTCAGATTCCTTCCCTCTGTTTTCCTTTAGTTGGCATCCATCTTTGTTGCTAATATGAAGTGAATTGAGCTCCTTGGCCAGGAATTCATACTCTTTTGCTTTCATCTGAAGCAATGAGTCAGTGTATTTAATCTCTTTCTGGACGCCACTCAAGTGAGAGTGGATTTTCAAACCAGCTTTCATGCTTTTCTCCAAATCACACTTAACATTTTCTAAATTAGAGCTTTCAAGCTCACTTGCAGCGGCCCCTTCTGCGTCTTCATTTATCTCTGTGCAAACACTTTTTACCTCTTTTTCTATTTCAGCAGAGAGCTTATCAATGAGCATTCTGTAATATGCTAATCTTTCCTCCAGGTGTACAATTCCATCACTTTCAGTCAGGTCGTCCAGAATCTGGTTTTCATCAGAAGGCAAGTCCAGCTTTTGCTCAACTTCACTGAAACTAGGCATTAAATATGCATCCTGGACATAATTTTCTCCATCATTTTCTACCCTATCAAGGTGGAACTTAGCTTCACACTTTTCAATTTCCAGATCCAGCTCTTTCATTCTCTTGACTTGCTGATGAATAGTGTGGTCCTGAGAAATAATCAGATGAACTAAGGTCTCCATACTATCTCGATCATGGGAAACTGTGTCCTGCTTAATTTTAGCCAGTTTCCGGAAAGTTTTTCTGACTATTCTTTTTTGTTTATCTGGCGGTAATGTCTTCATGTAATTTGCTGGACTGAGTTCCCACACTTTTTCCGTGTTTTGCACTAATTTGGCTTCAGCAGTCCGCCACAATGGAACTGGAAGGAAAGCATCTGCTTTAACCAAAACAAATTGCATATTGGGCTGCTCATCTCCCCAAGCTTTCCAAAGCTTCAGGATTCTAGTTAGTGGAGGAAGAACCCGTTCCGAGCCTCTCCACTTTTCTATGATGCAGTAATCACTGGGCTTCCCCAGCAGAAATCGTTTCTCTCCAAATGTAGCCTCATGTTCCTCAAGCAAAGCCTGGATGACATCAGCCGAGGTAGTGCGTTTAGTTAACCCGCAGACAATCTTCTCTTCTTGGCAAACCCAAACCACAATTTCCTTCTCTTCTGAATCCATGTCTTTAGTGGGAGATCTGAAAGAAAAACAAAGTACATTATATTTCTGTCATCACCTGTGTAAACTCAGAAACACGGTTTAACTTTAATACCCTTTTCAGATTCTATCCTTCATCAGAGATGCATTTGGAGGCTGTGACTACACGTGAATCAGAAGTTTTACTGCAAGAAAAAAAATTTTAAAAAAATCAAGGAAAATATCTTAATTTCCTTTTATTCCCTAGTGGGCTCTGGAAAGAGCAAATTGTCATCAAAGACAACTGAGGCTATTTTATCTATAGAAGTCAGCCACAATATAAGTACAGTCAGAACTGATAGAGTTAAGACAATAATCCAAGTGGAGATGAATAAGAGGAAATAAAATAAGACAATTTTTGCTGGAGCCTTCAGACTAGAGAAAGACCACGGAACCGTAGGTAGGAATGGTGGGATGATATTAGAGTCATAGAGCTAAAAATATATCATTATTCAAAACAGTCATACTTTTGCTCAACAAATGTTTATTACATGCCAACCATGTGCCAGACATGTCTGAAGATACTAAAGACACAGCAGTACACAAAGGAGAAGACAACATAGATATAAATGTGTAATTATTATAGTAGCAGGTGGTGGTAAATACTACAGAAAATTAAACAGGATGAAGGGAGAGAGAATGACTTGGAAGAAAGAGAAGTTCATTTTATTCAGAGTATTTAGGAGAGACTTCTAAGAAGATGACCTTTGAATAGGGGCATAAGTTTTGAGGAGGTCATCAGAGAATTAAGGGAAGAATTCTAGGAGTGAACAGAAGGGCAAGGGTCATGAAGCATGTTCTAGAGACAGAGAGAAGGCGAATGTAGTTGGAGGCTTGGGGGAGGGTGGAGTTGGGGGTTGTTGCTGGAGGGAGGGAAAGGTCAAATGATAGGTGATGAGATCTAGCAGAAATGCATATCCCATGATTAAGCATTTGGATTTTGTTCTAGTTTAAGTGAGAAGCCATGAGAAAGGTTTAAACAGAGGAGATATGGTTAAAATTATGCTTTAAGTATACCTGGCTTGTTTAATGGAATGGACTGTAAAAAAAAAAAAACCCAAAAGCAGAGACAGGAAGGCTTAGTTGAAAGCCTAGTGCAGAGATCTAAGGGGAATTACCTGGACTAGGGTTTTAGCAGTAGAGGTATTAGGAAGTGGTCAGAGTTGGGACATATATAAAGTATATACAAGACTTAATAGTAATTTCCTTTGTAGCAGAGAGGGATGGGGGAAAAAAATCAATTTTCTGAAGAAAAAAAGCCATAGAGGTAGTAAAAGAAACAAGGAAGTTCCGTGGTTTCTGGGCCATACCCTGTAGAGAATTTTTACGATCATATTTCCATCATGAGTGTAAGTCAAATTGACCGTGTCTTTCATAATATCCCTTTAAAAGAATGTTAAGAAAGAAATGATATAAAGTGAATTATAATCCAATATGATTTATGGAGACAAGATCTTCAAGTAGTAATTGGCTTGTTGTGAAAGTTACTTTATGTAGCACCTTCAAAGCATATGACTCCATGAAGCATATATGGAAGAAATTTTCCCTGGCTTCTAGAATCTTTTAACACTTAGAATATAGTGTTTATGTTTTAGTACCAATAATGACTAATCTTACATTATCTTTATTTTAAATGACTAATAATTGCACCTTGGTTATTGACTTTCTTGGGGTCATAAAGTGACTACTAACAGTGGAAGGACAAATCAGTGACACCAAATAACAAAGAGTACCCAATAAAATTTAGATATCCAACTGTACCAACATTTTATAAATAATTGTCCAAAAAGTCCTAAAGGGCTGTGATTGTTCTCTTATAAAAGTATTTAACATTTACACTACATCAATCAATAAATAAATGTATTTAACATTTAATGACTCAACACTGAATAATGTGATATTTGATAATATTTACAACTTGTCACTTAACAGTTCTAAGCAACAAAAAAGTAGGTAAAATTTAGGGCAACAGAATTATTTTCATATTTCAATTAGTAGGGAAATAGCACGCAAATACATTCTAAGCAAAAACAAATAAGTACTCAAAGTAACTGATACTAACTACTGTTTGTGTTATGGCTGTACAGCACAAATTACCTCTAAATTAATCATTACCTTCATCTGTTTTGATCATGCCTATAAAATACTCAAAATTAACAAATTTTCTTTTTACTTTATGCAGATAGAAGTTTACCTACTAAATTGCATAATTTAAAAAGAAGTAAACCATGCCCTGTGCACTTACTGTATGTTAAATTATAACCATTTCAAAATGCACTTTTTATAAATAATGGTAAAAATAACAAAATTGAGTAACTGTTGCAGTTATTAACCTTATAAGATAATGCCAATAGCTATTACATTAAAACTAAGAACATAGGACATCTTCATTTTATGCTATTTTTTAGTATTCATGGTTAAATTCTAAAAAAATCCTACTAAAAAATACTAGCACCGAAGATTATAACCATGAGTCATAAAACATTTAATAAATAAAACAGTTCTAAACTCTTGCATATATCGTCATTTAATCCTCACAATTCTGTAATGTAGGTAATAATATTATCACCATTTTATTGATAAAGAAACTAAAGCACAGGGGTTTTTAATGATTTGCCTAAGGTCACACAGTTAGTGGTACATTGAGGATTTAAACCCAAGCAAGAAAGCAGGCTCCATAGTGCAGTGCTAACCATTATATTGTAAAAACAAGTTTATGAGTTTGATGATTGTCTTTTTAAGATTTTTTTTAAGTAATCTCTACACCCAACGTGGGTCTCGAACTTACAACCCCAAGATCAAGAGTCGTATGCTCTACTGACTGAGCCAGCCAGGCACCCCTAGTTTGATGATTTAGATATGTGGATTAAATTGGAAAAAAAATAATAAAATACACTACTCTTTTAAGAGGAACATTGTTATATAAGTTTGCCTTTGATAGGAATGGAACTCTAAAGTCCTGTTAGAACACCAATTGGTCAAGGGAGGACTTTTCTCAATGGACAGTCACGGAAAAAAGTACATAAGAATGTATTACCATCTCTACCTTTTCCTTATTAATTTTGTTCTTACTCTGATGCAGTACTAAAGGATTTCTGACAGGTCTGGGCACCTGCATTGGCTGACAAAACTTTCATTTATATATATATATATATATATATCTCAACACCTTACTGTTGTTTTCTTAGAATAGTCCCTATGTCCTGTTCCATTTTCTGGAAACATTAGTTCTGGGTCTGTAAGAAAGGATAACACATGACCTACAACCTCTTCGGCCCTACACTGTCGTTGTGAAGAAGACTGAGAAGCAGAGATCAGGGAATCCTTTGGTACCCTACGTAGAATAATAATGATGCCGTACATGACAAGTCCCCAATACTTCCATGCCCCTACTCCAACTGGGACCTTTTTTGTTTGGGAAGAATCAAATGCTTGTCTATTGTGGCCTCCTGTAGATATCTGCTACTTTTCAGCTCATGTGGATAATGTAACCCTAATGATCATTAAGCACAACCTAAAGATAGTATTATTTCCACATTATGTATAAGAAAATTAGTGCCTTAATAATAACATCACAGTCTGACTGGTTCCAAACATTTTTTTAAGTCTACCTTAAGCTACTTTATATTTTCTGAGTCAGTTATCTCTAAATATTTTGAGGAAATTTTACAACCATCATTCAAATCAGATAATTTTCAAAAGTTCTACCTCTTGATTGAATATGTTTAAAAGTAATGACCAATGAATTTCCATAATCTTCCATACCTAGTAAAAGATTCATCATGTTTAAATTCTACTTTTCAAACAGGCTTCGGATTTTGAAAACTGTATTTATTTTGTAGTATGGCCCCAATTGAGTCTCTATCCATTCATTTTTCCAATCCTCTGTACCTTTCACGGTCATACTATAATATCTGACTCACATTTTTCATAAGTTTGCTGCAAATATTATATAAGAGAATGAGTAAAAGAGCTTTGAGAATTGTGAAAAATGTACTAGGTAAATATAGGTTATTAACACTAATAACAAAATTACTTTATTTAATACAGAGGGGGGTGTAGTGTTTTTAGTATGCTCATTCAGTAATCTTACTGACCTTGCTATAGTAGTTAACAATACTATTTTACAAATACTTTCCAACATGTCTCACAATATTTTTTCACCTGTTTTAACTCATCAGTTTTTTTGCATGTGTACTACCAATATGACATAACTGTTTGGCTAATAAGAGATACTTTAAAACATCATTAATATAATATTTGGATCACAGATGAGCCGAGAATGCTTTTAATCTTTCTCTAACTTATAACCCTCTGATTTTGATTAAAATTGTGCTAATGAGGTTCATTACACTAAATATATATATATACATATATATATTATTTTACAGCTGTTTCATTATTCCGTGTTTGCCTTTTTTGGAATATCATCAGAAAATTAAGATTTATATCCTAAATAAAACTTTTCAACAACATGTATTAACCTCACTTATGGGTACTTTTCCATATTTACTCTGAAATAATAACTGAAATTAAATATTAGACTTCTTGCATTCACTCTATTGTCAATCAGGAAATTGAAAATATTTCTCCATTGATAATTAACTTTAGTAACACAAAAACAATGACACAGAATTAAAACAATGACACAGAATTAAGTTGAGTTGGCTTGTAATTACAAATGCAATGTTCATACACTCAAATATTTCTTCAACACACTCCACTGAGTAATTATGGACAAAGCGTCAGAGAATAAATGATCTAAATCTGGAAGTTTTAAGATAAAAAAAAGTATTTACTAAGATATTACAATGCCAAACTGAAGATCTCTGAAAACATATATTTACTGAAAAAGATTCAGTGTGAAAGCAGAGAAAAATGAAGATAAATGGATAAACTTTGGCCATCTTTATTCAGCTGCCCAGAGGAAAAGGGCATTGAAGTTGAGGCACAGGGAAATAAATTGAAAGAGTAACATTTATTCCTAGTATATACTAGACA